GAGCAGCTGCTGCTTCTCGCGGAGGGTGTCTTGCGTGCCTCCGTGTATTTGTGTGTGTGTGTCCCTCTAAAGAGTGCACACCGATCTGTTCAACATATGTCACTATAAATCACAGGACGTATCTCTGCCTCCCCCTCCCCCCAGCCCTAGAGGGAGAGGAGAAAGCAGAATCTGTGAGGGGCGCTGAGAAGAGGCGCGGTTGCAACAGGTGTCTCCGTGCGCCCTGCACCTTTTCAAGCATTCTCCGGCTTCTTAGTCCCCCAGCCATGGAGGCTTTTTTTCCCAGGGGCTGAGCCAGGCTGTCGCGAGTAAAGGCTAAGGGGGAGGAAGTCCAAGAGGGGGAGGGGAAGCTGGGAATAAAAAGGCCTAAATCGCTCCCCCCCACCCCAAGCTCTCTTCTCGCTTTGTGTGGAGGCTCCTTCCCCAGCCGCTCCCTATGCGCCTCGGAGGTGGCATATGGTGCCCTCTCACCTACCCAAGGGAAAAACACAGCGTAGACTAGAGCGCACAAGGCCCCTTGGGTGGGGGCGACCTCTTGAAAACTAGCAGGGCAAGGGGGATTATGTGTGGCACTATCCTTATCTCTCCTTCCAACAAACCCCCCCTTTACCCCCCCTGTAACTGGCACGCCAGCCGTTGGGTAAGCAGCGGCCAGGCCAGCCAGCTCCAAGCTGAGGAACCTCCCCAGCTCCTGGCAGATGAAATATGGGGCTCCTGAGCCCCTGGTGACCATATGTTTTCAATAAAATAAGACAAATAGGGCTGAGATAGGACTTGAAGTCAACCTGTTATAAATGAGCCGTCAATTGGGGCAAAGTAAACGGCCGCTGGGCCCCCAGTGGGGAGGGCGACTCGATGCCAGGCCTGTGTGTAAGCTCCTAGGACAGGTGTGGCGAGAAGCTCCAGGCCAGGTCTCCCCTGGGGAGGGTTATCACAGCAAAGGTAATAGTGTGCTAAGTATGAGTAAACAGTCATTGTGAGAAGCACCGAGAGTTTATCAGAGACGGACAAGTCTGGGGCGGGGGTGTGGGGGTGACTTAACAATAAAGTTGCTCGCCTTGGGAGCAGGTGACGGCTGGTTGCATGGGCTGCCGTGCGCGATGTTTTCCAAAGCCCTCCACTTTACAATCTCTTCCAATTATTTATTAAACGAAATCTATTTATTATTATTTTAGCAAACACTGGGGGCAGGTGGGGCTTTCTTCTCGTCTTCTCCTTTTGTTTGAAGGACTGTTTGAAGTGGCCAGGCTCGGCTGGAGAAGCTCGCTAGCCAGATTTTTGTCCGGCGGCCCTCTTTTAGTGTGGAGGCCAAGACGAGAGAAAAGGAGAATCCAGCTCCTTTGCCAGCTCCCTCGCTATTCAGCTCGCCCTGGCCCTCTGCTCCTCCCCCTTGAAGCGGCTCTCAAAGCGCCCCATCAGCTGAAAAGATCCCCCCAGTACACAAGAGGGCGGCAGGCCCCTTCTGCCGCTTCCTTTCCCACACAATCCGTCCCTGGTCTCCAGGTGCCCTGGCTTCGCCCGGGGGTCTCCTTTGCGCTTCTGGAGCCCCCAGGTGCGCAAAGGGGCCGGGGTGTAGGGGGGCTGGTGGTTCCAGGAGCTCTCCTCATTCGGCAGGCCAGCTACAGGTTTGAGGGTCCAGCTCGCCCAGCCAAGGCAGGAGCTGTTTCAGCACCAACGCTTGCGCACAGGACTTCTCTGGCACCTCCAGCGTCTCCACCCCCACTCTTGGGCTTTCTGGATTTGGAGACGGCGCAGCTGCGCCCCCTGAAGGGGGGCGAGAGGGGATTGGCCCCTATCCCCGAGCCCAAGGGGCTTCCAGACCTCCAGCACCGCCCTCTGGATCGTGGGGGGAAACTCTGCAATATCTCGCGCACTGGTGACTTCCCCTCGTCATGGCGCGTCCAGCCTACAGCTCCTTTTTTGCGCACTGAGGAAGCAGTCTCAATCAGCGGCTTTAAGGGTTAGCAGGCCCCTGGCGGCTTTTGGGAAGTTTGAGACAGATTCCAGGGATCATTCCCAAGATCCTCTCCCAATGATTGAGATGATCCCTCCAAATCTCTGGGATCTATTTCCCCTGGAAGAGATTTGCATCTCAAACAACCTGAAGAGATCTCACCTCTTTCCCCTTTCCTCCACTCCATCGCCACTACCGTTGCTCCAGGAGGCAAACAGCAGCCAAAAGGGGTTCATCTCTCACTGGCTTTTAAAGTCTTAAAGGGAGAAAAGATAACTTTGGCTGTCAGGAGCCTGAGGGTTGATGCTGCCTCTTCTATCCCCTCGGATTCATGGGGCTCTGCTCTCTCTCTCTCTCTCTCTCTCTCTCTCTCTCTCTCTCTCTCTCTC